GACTTCTTGTCGGCGACGGGCGCTTCGAACCTCTGGAACGTCTCGAGCTCGACGGCCGCGAACCCCTCCAGGCGCCCGAGGAAGCGCGGCAGCGCCGCCGCGCAGGCCAGATTCGCGCGCTCCAGGCCTTCGAGGCCGTTCGCGGGGACGGGGAACGCCTCGACGAGCTTGCAGGCGGCGCCCCCGTCGAAGGCCAACGCGACGAGCGTCCGGGACCCCGGCAGGCGGCCGGCCTCGACGACGACGCAGGCGCCCTCCGTGGCGTTCCAGGCCTTTTGCACCGCGTTGACGACCGCGTCGTCCGCGTCGAGCGTTGCTTTCCGCATCTCCGCGCACCGCGACGAGTGCTGCAGCGCGTATTTCCCCGTCGCCTCCGACGCCGGCAGGGGCTCGTGGAAGGGCGCCGGCGCGCCGGGCGACAGGGCCGGCTCGAGGCCGTCGGCGAAGGGGAAGTCGAGCTCGCCCGTGGCGTACTTCTCCCGGAGCGTCGTAAACTCAGCCTTGGTCTGGCCCAGGCCCCGGAGGTAGCCCAGCAGGAACTGGGGCGCGAAGTCGCGCATGGCCTCGCGGGAGGGCGCGGGCTCGTACATGCCCTGGCGCCGCGCGATCTCGATGGAGACCAAAGCCGAGACGACGTCGACGCAGTAGGGCCCCGACTCCGGGTTCTTCGGCGCGCAGGTCGCATCGTCCAACGCCCGCAGGCTCAAATCGTCCTGCTCGCCGGGCGCCGCGAGCCGCGCGCCCCGCGCCGTGCGCACGAACTGGTCCGTCGTCACGGAGCCGTGGACGACGACCGTCGGCACGTCGTACGCGCAGGCCGCCTCGACGCGGCCCTTGCACTGGGCGCAGGCCTCGCGGAAGAAGAGGCCCGGCGACGCCGCCACGCGCAGGCGCGCGTCGGGGCCGTCGCGGAGCGGGTCCCGGAAGAAGGGGTTCGACGCCGCGCTCGACGCGGGCGTGAAGGGGCGCTTCGTGATCTCGTCGATGAGGAAGGCCACGGGGTCGCTGGGCCGCTCGCGGAGCACGCGCACGACGTACTCCTGGAGGATCTCGCCGAAGTTGTGCCGCTTCGCGTACTGCACGCAGTCCTCGAAGGCGTCGCGCGCCGTCGTCTCCGCCACCATGCTGAATGCGTTAGACCTTGTGTATCCTTTGGTTGCACCCATCGAGCACTCTGGGTGCAGGGAGGCCCAGCCTCGGCGCCGACCGCTCGGCTCCACGGTCGCCGCACCCGGACGCGCCACCGCCGCGGTCTCGAGCGCTGCGCGAAAGACCCCGTCGCCCGCGCGCGCCGCTGCGCATCGCCGGCGCGCGCGCCGGTCGCGCCGCCGCTCGCGAAGCCCCCATGCCGACGCCGCAGCGGAACAAGAAGAAGCAGGCCAAGCCGAGCACGCCCGGGACGCCGCCGACCCCCAAGCCGCCGCCCGTCCACGCCAACTACAAGGCCGCCACGCGCTGCTTCAAGGAGCACGTCGCCGCGCTGCGGCGCTGGATCGACACCGAGGACGAGGCCGCCGACGTGCTCAACAGCGTCGCGGCGTTCGCCGG